GCTTACCTTCAGGGTCATACTTCACATGAAGACTCTGTTTTATTTTATTTATTTTCTTTTTTGTTTTATCTGAGCACATACGTGTGTATTTACATATATATTCGTATTTGTAAATGCAAGTATGTGTACTTGTGTACATATTGTTTTTTTCTGTATATGTCTGAAATAAAGATACAATAATAATAATAAAAAAAAGACCAAAATAGTTCCAAAGGCCAGATCTGAATGAGGGTGGGGGAGGTTCAATTTGCCATGTTGCAACAAGCTTAGCTTCTGTCTTGCTAGCTTGTGCTGTGCTCAGTGGATCTGCGCTCGACAGTGCAGCCTAGGCGGAGTAGTCGAACGCAGATCCACTGAGCTCTCAACACAGACAGCATCGTCAGAAGAAAAGTTGATAAAATAAATAAAAATGTTTGTATTGTTCGATACATATGCGTACCGAACCGAAAGCACTGTATCGAACGGTTCAATATCGATACGAGTATCGTTGCACCCCTAGTTCTAATATGCACAATACATTTATTTTGCGAGAATTTACCAGGGTTCCTTTGTGTAACACAGGATTTGGGTCACTGAATGACCCATCATTGTTCTGGACTGAGAGCAAGTAACTGACTGATCTTCTGATGTCTTCTCCTAATCTGACGCTCTTCCGTTCTTCATTAGTCTGACGCTGAGTCACAAATGAAAACATTTTTACTATAAGAGCAGTCACCCTGAGAACATGAAAAAACAAAGTGAAAAGGTTGATTCATTATTATTCATAATGGAGATTTTAAAATATAAATATAAAGGGAGATTCAAATGACTACTTTATATCCAAAACTAAAGAAGAGTTATATAAACCCATACTCACCAATTACTCGATGGCACATAACTCAATGTACCATAGGCTCCATCATGCCTTCTATAGCTTGTGATGTGTTTACTGCCTAGCAAAAAAAGTACACGGTGCTTATAAAAGTGTCAGTTCATTACTATATATATATACATATACATATATATATATATAAATACATATCACGAAGGCGAAATACAAGCTTAGTGATGATTTGTGACACAAAACTGACTTTTCCCCTAATTAAAACACGGAAAGTTATTCCATAAAAAAATGATGATGATTTTTTTTACAATAACATTAACATATTTAATAAGATTATGTATGTATTTTTATGTATTTTTTTTTTTACCTTTATTCTATTGATTTTTACCACAGTCAAAAATTGTAATCTTTTTTGTTTGCATAATTTTTTTCAACATATTTGAGCCCTGATAGCTTCTGAACTACAGGAGGAGGAGCCACATGAAATCTTTTAAGCTAAAAACACATTCAAGCTCCATTTTTGGTTTATTATGCACCCAATCCAAAAATAATAATCTAAAAAGTCCTGTATTTGTTCATTAGGATTTGTTCTTCAATTACTATTGAGCAAAACTTTACCAATTTAATGATGCTGAGTACAGGAAAAAAGCACTCACATCCTTAATGTTTTACTTGCTTTCTGATAAGTCACTAGAGAAAACTTTTTTTAAAAAAGTGCATGCTGTGTATACTTGATGGTGTTGTATTACCATGTAGGACAGGAGACTAGTTAAATTGAGCTACAGTATATTTCAAGAGCCTGTAACTCAGCTCTAACATCATTAAACTAAGGTGAACTTCATGCTAAAATATTTGTTCAAGAAATGCTTCGGAGAGGTCAAATGGTAACTTTTTTAAGATCCGAATAATTGTATGTGGACTGACCAGTGAATCTATAAATTATAAAACAGTTTTAATTTGTAGCATATTTAGCGCCTAATAAGGATATTTTTTCATGTCTTCCTACCTTGCTCAAGTTTATTAAGAGCATCCTCCCTGCTGCCAGGTGGCAGCTCAAACCACTGCCGACTCAAGTCAAGGTACCGGAAAGCTAAAACTGTAGGTCCCAGTTTTGACATTGTCTGCTCTAAACATCCAGTTGGCAAAACAATCATTTCAGCAACCCTTTCAGTAGAAAGAAGCTTTCTTGCATATGAATCACCAAAGCCATTCCCTGTTGAATGAGAGAAATTAATAATAAGATGTCAGGTATTTATAAAAGTCAACAAATTTTATGTCTGTGTCTCAGTGTCTACCTTCCACTGAAACAAATATATTGGAGCTGGAGTCAGGGACTGTGTCATCTGGTAAGGATCCGTCAATAGTGAATGTCTTTGTGCTTCTTCCTATCATAACAGAGATAAGTATAAAAAGGATAACAATAACTATGACTGACATTAAACTATCCATCAGAAATACTAACCCACTCACCATCTAAGTTATGGACACTGGTTTTTTGATCTCTCTTTTCTAATCCTTCTTTCTACAACATAAGATAGAAGACAACCAGTTTATAGTATGCCTTGTTTTTGGAACTCAGACTGCCATAAAAGTATCTTATACATTTCACTCACCTGCACATTCAAAGTTTTTTCTATTGCATCTATTCCAAAGCTCTTCTTTATATCATAGAGACGTATTTTGATGGGTATTGAACCAGCGACCATGGGCACAGCAGAGAAGGAGACAAACTGAGAGGATTGGGGTTCAAGAGTAATGTTAACATAAGATGATTTCGTGGCTGAACCAGGAGAGCAAAGTCCTTCAGTTTGTTCCATGTGCACTGCCACCTGTGAACATGCAGGTGTCCAAGAAGACAAAAAAAATCTTTACTTATTCCACACAAAGTAGTTACTGTTTCCAGTGACACTCAGCACTGATGTTGAGGTTAATCTACCTGCAGTTCGGAGTCATCATAGTTGTAGATAACAGGTGAAACCGACAGCTGCTCAAATTTTTTCACAAATGAAGGCAGTCTCAGAGACACAAATAACTCCTTAAAGGCTCTGATCTCAAGTGGCTTAGTGACACAGAAACCTGAGTGAAACACAGAATAGAAGTAAGTTGCAGTTAATGAGATCCAGTCAAATATCTGTGATGTGTTTATAAAGCACAGAGTTATGATTACCTGTGGATGGAGATAATGTGACAACCTGAATCTCCCATGTAGTGATGGAATCAGGAAGGAGCAAAGAGTAGCTACAAGTTTTTGATGAAGAGAAATCAAATTAAATCAAATCAATCAGACAAATGACACAGTTTATACTGGGGTTCAAAGATAAGCTGCTTAAGTGAAATAATCACACATTATTCAAGCAACAACAATTAAGATGAGTACATAAACAAAGCAACTGCATGGTGTCATTATGCATCGAACAACTGTATTTGACTGGAAATGGATGTGTATATATATATATATATATATATATCAACACCTACACCCTGCCTGTGATCAGGTACCCTGCTGGGGTAATAGGCTGGCCAAAGGAGGAGATAGAAGCCACTGACATCAAGACAAGAAAGCTCCTTACCATGCATGCAGGGTTTCACCCCAAGTCCAGCACCCTGAGGCTGTATGCTAAGCGGAAGGAAGGGGGCCGGGGACTGGTGAGTGTCAGCACCACAGTCCAGGATGAGACAACGAACATCCACGAATACATCACGAAGATGGCCCCAACTGACAGCGTACTCAGTGAATACCTCAGGCAGCAGAAACCCAAGAAAGTGGAGGAAGGCGAGGAACCATCATGGAAGGACAGGCCCCTGCACGGTATGTACCACCGGCAGATAGAGGAGGTGGCTGACATCCAGAAATCCTACCAGTGGCTGGACAAAGCTGGACTGAAAGATAGCACAGAGGCACTAATCATGGCAGCACAAGAACAAGCTTTGAGTACAAGAGCCATAGAGGCTGGGGTCTATCACACCAGGCAAGACCCCAGGTGCAGGCTGTGTAAAGATGCCCCTGAGACAATCCAGCACATAACAGCAGGGTGCAAGATGCTAGCCGGCAGGGCATACATGGAACGCCATAACCAAGTGGCCGGCATAGTATACAGAAACATCTGTGCCGAATATGGCCTGGAAGTGCCAAGGTCAAAATGGGAGACGCCCCCAAGGGTGGTGGAGAATGACCGAGCTAAGATCCTGTGGGACTTCCAGATACAGACGGACAAAATGGTGGTGGCTAACCAACCGGACATAGTGGTGGTAGACAAACAGAAGAAGACAGCCGTAGTGATCGATGTAGCAGTAATCGATGACAGCAACATCAGGAAGAAGGAACATGAGAAGCTCGAGAAATACCAAGGGCTCCGAGAAGAACTCGAGAAGATGTGGATGGTGAAGGTGCTGGTGGTCCCCGTGGTAATTGGAGCACTAGGTGCAGTGACTCCCAAGCTAGGCGAGTGGCTCCAGCAGATCCTGGGAACAACAGCGGAGCTCTCTGTCCAGAAGAGCGCAGTCTTAGGAACAGCTAAGATACTGCGCAGGACCCTCAAGCTCCCAGGCCTCTGGTAGAGGATTTTTATATGTGTGTGTGTGTGTGTATTTAATGTGTTAATTGTGATTAATTGATTTGAGAGAGAAAAACGCGTAAAAACGCACTTTGCATTCAAAGCAGAGAGGATATGCATATGTCGATGCACGATTTCCTGGTATAGCGATTACACTGATGCACATCAGAGCTACAAAGAATCAGAAGAAAGCACATTGCTAGGACTGATTGGAGGCAGATTTCATTTCAAAAGACTACCCGACAGAAGTCTTGTTAAAAGCATGGTTTTGTGCACAAAGGAGTTTGCATACCATTTGAAGCACTTCAACTTTATGGTACCATTTAAATGCAAAACACAGAAACTGTGGGAGCTGTTAGCGCTAGCAATTCAGTACCAACAAAAGGTGTCGGCAGCCCAAACTTGATGAAATGACTAGCTTCAGGACAAAAACTTCTCTCGCAAAATGGATTGCTCTGGTATTCACGCCACATACTAAAAGTAGCACTTTATTTTTAAGTCTGCCCAATTTTGGCCAGGGACATTATTTTTGTTTCTCTGTTTTGAATTGAAATGCA